CCACCCTGTGCTGGTGTCCTGCTCTCCACTGCTCCCCCCACACACTGCTCAGCGCTCTACTCACAGCAATGCAGTCAACTGATAAGCGCCCCCCCCCCCCCAAGTAGGAGACCTCCCTTAAAAGGGGGGAGTCTGGAGAGTACCTTGAAGCTTTCTGGCACAATTCATTAAGATATCGACCTTCAATGAAATATCTCTGTCTAAATCGTCATTTATCTTGGGGAACAGGGGCCTTCGTGGCAAAGGAAAAGACTGCCCCTGTCTACCCCTCCATGCCCCTACCCAACACAGAACCTGGGTCTTTCTGAGTCAGACTGAGAAGCAGGGTGGGGAGGAAGAGCTGGGATGGGGAAGGGAGAAGATTCCAGAGTGGGGGAACTACAGGGAAAAGGGGGTCACCTTCACTGAGCAGGAGGCAATACAGAGTGAAACAGAAAGCCCTGGACGGCCCCCCCCCCCCCCCGCCCCATTGCCCCGGAAAGGAAACCCACCGCAGCCTGCCCACAATGGCCGAACATCGGAAACAACCCAACCGCCCATCACAGGGAGGCTGGGTAGAGAAACCAGGGCACACTGGTAGGGCCGAAGGCTCTCCAGAAGGCTTTTCAATTAACGACCCAGAGATACATGTAGCAATCCCGAATTGATCTTGGCAACATAAAGTTGAGTGAAACAACAAGAACAAAAAGTAAAAGCAAGGAGCAGAAGGATACCTTTTCTCTAAAATTTCAAGATGCCCAAGCAATACTAAATGAGTAAGAGTATAAAACTTATTTGGGAAGGCTACCTACCAACTTCAGGAAACTGGCTAGCTCTGCAAGGGAAGGGTGGAGAAAGAGAGGGAGGGATATGAAGGGACCTCAACAAGATCAGCAGCCCGTCCTTTTTAAGCCTTTTATTTTTAGCCATAAAGAAAGATGCACAAATCATAAGTGTACATACAGCCCAATTAATTTTCACAAAGTGAACACACCCAAGTAACCAAATTAAAAAAACAAAAACAAAACACAGAACATTCCCAGAAGCCCAGGAAACACTTCATGCCCCTCCCAGTCTCTCCCCAACCCAGAGTAGCCACTCTGCTGAGTAGTAACACCGTTAATTAGTTTGACTGATTTTTGAATTTCAGATAAATGGAATCATACTGTGTGTTTTCTCAGGTGTCTGGCTTTTACGCTCAACATTCTGGTTGTTCGATTTCTCCACGTTGCTGTGTGTGGCAACAGTTCATTCATTCTCACTGCCAAGTACTAGCGAATGCATTCGAGTCCTGTGATTTATTCGCCCGATGCACTGTTGAGAGCTACTGGTAATAGTGCTGCTAAGAACATTGTAGTGCATGTTTTTTGGTGAATGCATATGTGAATGCATCTCCATTGGTAAATGCTTAGGGGTGATGCTGCTGCTATGTCGTGCTGGTGAAGTTTATCCCTTAATAACTAAAAAAGAAGGTGGTTTTCGAGCAGAGGTAAGATTGAAGCAGTCAGGTGAATGGAAACAAAATATCTGGGCATAGATGTCAGGGGACTGTGGGAACAGGGAGACCAGCGTTTCTGACTGTACACAGCCCCTGAGTGCCAGGCCTGGTCCTTGGAACAAGCTCACACACTAGCCCCCTTCATCCGCAGAGCAGGGAAGCAGCTGGCCTGGGGAAAGGGCATCCGCTGCAGAGTGAGAAGGCCTGGGAACAAGTCTTTGCTGGGTCCCCTCCTGCTGTGTGACCCGGGGTGAGTTCCTCACCCATAAAACGAGAAGAGCCGCACGCTGAGCAGCACAGGAATCAAGTGCCTGACACACAACAGGCATTTCATAAGCACTAACTGCAGTCGGATGCGTGATTTGCAGTTCTGTGAGGCCTGTAGTCCTCATTTTTAGGCGAGGAAACTGGGGCTCACAAAAGGGAAGATGAATGTTTATGGAAAGCACTCGATGAACAAACAGGTCATGGAGCTAGACTCTGCTTGAGCTTTCTCGTTATTTCCCAACCACCTAGGAAGCATCCTCCTAATTTTGGTGAATGAGGAAAGTGAGGCTCAGATTTGTCCAAGTCACACAACTGGTAAGGGACAGGGGCTGAAGTTCAGCCCTGGGCTGCCTCGCTCTAGCTCCTGTGCCTTAACCATGGCCTCCAAATAGGGCCCTGGCTCCTGCCACAGCCAAAGCCCCAGGCCCTCCCTGGACCCTTTGAAGGAGGAAGGACAGTGAGGGACGAACCCTCCTGCCAGTTCCCACTTTGTCTGGGGAGCCAAGGGCTATTCTTTTGAACCTTCACACAGAGCTTCTGCACCAGAAGGAACTTTGGACTGGCTTCTCTGATTTCGGGGTGTTTATTCCACACCTTTCTTTGGTGGTCCTTGCTTTAGGTGCCCTTTAGGTGAAGACAAGACAGGGTCTTTTGCCTCTCCCTTGAGCTCCCCCCACCCCCACCCACGCTGACTCACAGGGTGCTGGGAAGTGAACTGGCCTGGAGATGAGGGGTAAACTGAAATGAGGGCTGAAAGTTCTCAGGAAATTTGGGCAAGTAGGCCTGCCTGTGAGGTAAGGAGGGCTGCTGCAGGAGATGGAAGAGGACTGGGTGGCGAGGACAGCCAGCCAGCAAAGAGCTGGAGAAGCCCACGGGAACTCACCTGACCCCACCTCCCTGCTGCAGAAACCCACCCCAGCTCTCTGCAGGAAGAATGGGAAGGGGGTCATGGCCCAGCTGGGCTTACGCAAGGACCTGCCAACCCCAGGCCTGGCTCAGGCCTGTCCACACACCCTGCCTCCCACTGGCGCTGGCTCTCCATAGAAGAGAAACCGGCACACAACCAAGAGCTTTCTTTCCCCCCAAACTGTACTCCTTGGGTAACCCACAAGTAGGCTGTATTGCTTTCAAGATCTCCCAGAGCTCTCCCTGGTCCCCACTGAAGGGACTCTGCCTTTATCACTTACCAGCTGTGTAGGTCTGGGAAAGGGACTTCATCTCCCTTTAGCTCAGTTTCCACCTCTGTAAATGCAGGTAATGGTACTGCCTCACATGGTTATTGTGCAGGTGAAATGAGCCCTATGCCTGGCCTGTGCTATATGACTCCAACTTTAGCTGTTATTTTGTTCAGATTGCTACTGTTACTGCTATACTGAAGACACTTTCCAATAATAGCATCCAAATAAATGGCACTCAGAGTCCTCCCCACAACGAGTTCACACCTAGTATCTGAAAGCCTCCAGCAGGACCCAAGAATGGCTGTGACACCTACCCAAGAGGGCAAATACATAGGATCTGGGCCTGGACAGGTATTGCTAACATTGCAACTACTTCTGGTTATTTGCACCCACACACACACAAAATAGAGTAAGTGGTGGCGAACAACCCAAGAGGGAACCTCTTCTCCCAAGACCCTTTCTTCCAAGCCCCATTGGAAAGGCCTCTGGAACAAGAAATTCTCTCTCCCCTGGCCACAGCACTGACACACCCTAAGCACCAATCCCTGAAGCCCCCACAGCTCACATTCCGCAGAAGCAACAAGTGTGCCCATCCCCACCTGCCTCAAGTGACCTGGGGCAGGTGAGCCTTCCAGCGCCACTGCCTTCTTGCCCCCACCCCAGAGTAGGGTTCTCACTTGGTCCTGGACACTCCTCCATGATCCCCGAGGCATCCATCACCTCTCCCCACCCCAATACACAGGGCCAGATGGGAGATGTTTGTAACATGGAGAGTGGGAGGGAGGACTTAGATTGCCACAGGCCTTTGAGCGGGGCATCTGCTACCAGCACGGCCCTCCCTCTGGGATCTCGGGCCTTTCCTCCCCCGGACTTCCCCTCCCACCCCAAACATTCACCACTGCCACCATCAAATACCCTCAGTTTTCCGGGGGCAAAAGACGTTGAGTTTTGTTTACAGTCTAATTTGTCCGGCTAGCTGACTCTACTTTGCCCTTCTCCAGGCCGCGTGGATCCGGTGTTGGGCCCCTTCCTTACCGGTTCGCAGAGCACTTTAGGGGAAATCCCCCTTCCGGAGAGGGCGTCGGCGATCGCCCGGGTGGCAGTGCACAAAGCCCAGAAGGAGCCTCGCCACCTCCCCCGCCCTCGCTCAAAAACCCACCCCCAAACCCCCCTCAGTGGGGGACAGGAACGAGGCAAGGAAGGGCATAGACCTGCCACCGGCTCCGGGCCCCCGGCCACTCCCCGCGTCGAGCGCAGCCCGCCGGGAACCAGTGAACCGTGTGGGACCGGCGCTTGGCCGAACCTCCAGAATCCGGAGAAGGGCTGGGGTTTGCAAAGCACGCCATAGGATTCGCGAGGCCAGGGTGAATTCCTGGGGTCTCTCCACCTCCCCCCGCTTTTCAGGTCTGCAGCCCCACGTCTTTTCCCGGCCTCCCCACTTTTCTTCCCCCAAAGTTTAATCCACGTGGTCTTCTCTCGCTCCCGGCCGGCGGCCTCGCTAGGTGAAAGATGATGCACCTGCTTTAGGCGAATTATGGTAGCGCTAGAAGTTGGTCTCCCCTCCCTCCCTCCCTCCCTCCCTCCGCCGCCCGCTCACTCGCTCCCTCCCTCCGCCCAGGCTCGCGGCGCGCTCCCTCCTTCCCCCTCCACCCGCCTCCCCGCCCCCGCCCGCCCCGCCTGCGCACCGCCCGCTCGCAGCCGCTCGCAGCCCCGGCTCAGTCGCAGCCCCTCGGAGTCCGGAGTCGGTCGCCCCTGCGGACCGGACTGCGAGACCGGCGGCCGGGACGGAGCCCCCATCCTGCGAGGAGGGCGCGGCGCAGGCGGCGGCGGCGCGGCGGGGAGGAGCCCGGGCCGGAACCAGGGCTGGGCCGGGGGCGGGGACGCCGGGGTCCCGGAGCCCGGCGCCGGAGCGAGCGAACCAGCGTCGCGGGAGGACCGGGAAGGAGGAGAACAGCCGGAGCTGGCCGAGCTGCCCACAAAGTGCGATGCCCCGGCGGGGCTAGGGCGCGCGGCGGCCGGCGCGGCGCGGAGGGAGGACGCCCCGGAGCTGTGCGGCGCGGAGGGGCAGCCCCAGCGGGCGGCAGCGGGCCCGGGCTGCGACCCGAGCGAGCCCCATGCCCCGCGCGGGCTGACGGGCCGGAGCCCGCACCGAGCGGCCGGGCCGGACAGGTAGGTGGCGGGCCGAACCCGGGGACGCGGGGTGGGGGCTGGGCCGGCGACCAGACCAACTCCCGAGCTCGCGCACTCGCTCGCCCGCTCGCTGGCTTACTTTGTGTTTGCAAACTGCCCGCCGGAGCCACGCCGGGAGGAGCCGGGCCCAGGCCGGCACACTTTGTTCCAGCCAGGGCCGGCTGCTGCGCCCTGACCCGGCGCAGGCGCGACACCCCGAGCCGGGCCCTCGCGGCCCCAAGCTGCGTTGGGAACAGGTGGGGGCTCCGGCGCGGCGGCGGCGGCGGCGGGCTGGGGTGGGGGCAGCCGGAGGTCGGCCGGGGTGGGGGCTGGAAAGGCTACGGCGGCCCGCCCTTCCCCAAGAATCCGGGCCCCGCCCCCTGCGGGTCCGACCGCTGGGAACGGGGTGTAAGGGGCGCGACACCCCCGCCCGCCCCGAGTCAGACAAAGAGTACTTCCCGATGCGGACTTTCCTGAGCTGGGGAGGGAAATGGGGAAGTGAGTTCCTCCAATCCTCCTCTATCTAGGACTCCCCAAGACTCGTCAAGGCAGATGGGGGGGTCGCGGTCGCGACAGCCGCGTCGCCTCGGGTGCGGAGGGGGACGCGTTTTTGTGGAGGTCGCACCTGGAAGGCTCCGGGGCCAGCTCTTCCCCCATCCCTCGGTCAGCTCGGATCTAGAGCGGAAAACTTCTTTAGGGACTTGAGAGCGTCTGGAACCTGCCCGTGTGATTTTGTTCGCTGATGCTGGAGAGGGGGGCACTGACCTGGCCGAGACCTTCCCTCATCCCGTTTGAGAACCCCCGCCTCACCGTGCACGGAGTGGGGGGTGGCAGCAGGTTCAGGGCCCCCTGGAAAGTGCTCCGGGGTGACCGAGCGGGACTCTGAGGAGGGAGACTGAGGACTCGGTGTCTCCTGCGGATGAGCCCCGACAGACCCCTGTCTCGGACCCGCGGCCACCCCGCGGCACTGCAGCCCTGCACTCCCGGTCAACGCCGAACTGACTTGGGCTGAGCCTGGGCCAAGCCTGTGGCACTAGAAGGTGGGGCGACTTGGGGTCCTCGCCTCCCCGTCGAAGGACCGTGTGATTTCGCGGGACGCGGATTCTGAGGCAGCGGCCCCAAGGGCTGCAGATCCCGCCGCTCCAGCTGGAGCGACCTTGTGAACACGCGGGCGCCCCACTCGGACTCTCTAGGCTTCGGGGAGAGGGGATGGGGTCGCGGAGACCCTGAGCTCCGGAGCACCCGACTGTTCCCGCTGCGCCCCCGCTCGCTCCTAACCCAAGCTTGGCCGACTTCCTCCTTCGTCGGGCGCCTGGGGTTTAAGGCTTCTAGAGAGATCCCCGCGTGTCTGGCACCCCAGCACAGGGATCCGCTGCAGGTTGTCCTCGGAGCCTGGAGCAGGGTTTGGGGGGTGGGGTCGGGCGGAGGAGCAAGTCCGAAGCTGCCTTCCTCGCGGTCCCTAAGAAAGCCCAGGAGCATTTTGGCCAACGCGGGTTTTTACTTGGGACTTTTGCGTCTTCATACGCTGTTTTAAACCCCCCACCTGGATTGTCCCCTTTGAACTGAGTTGGGTCTGGAATTGAGGACCAGGGGAGTGAAGCTTGAGGGGCAGCTGGGAATGGAGCCCCAGGGTGGGCCCGGTGCCCCCTTCTCCCGCACAGAAAGAGGGAGCAGCAGGGCGGGCTGTACGGCCTGCAGCCTGGGGAGGGTATAAATAGTGCCACTGAACACAATGATGGAGACCACCACGCTGAGAATTTGAACCCAGAAACTCACTGTCCTTGGAGAATGAGGACTAAACCTTGTGGGTGCTGAGCATTTCAAGCCCTTAATGTTCCTGGTGAGCCAGTGGGTGGGCGTAGGGGCCCCAAAGGGCAGAAAGTTGGGCTGCCCCCCCCGGGGGGGAGGGGAAGGGGAACCCCTTGCCTCAAACAGCCCCTGCCCCAGACAAACCCTGCCTAACCCCAACCACTGCCAGGAAGGGGAAGTCTGCAGGCTTGGGGGTTTTTTGTTTGTTTTTTGTTTTGTTTTGTTTTAAACTTGAGAAACTTTGTCGTGCCCGGGTTCCGGGGCTCTTTGTCACCTGGCAGGCTGGAGGGAGGGCCGGGGACTGGGAGCACCTGGACAGCCTGCTTGTTCTGCCCGAAGATCTAAGGCTCAGAAGAACGAGCTGTGCGTTGGGGGGGCTCCCCATCTGGTGTCACTCCCACCCTCGTCAGTGGGGCAAGGTGTCATGGAGAGGAAGTGGCACTGTGGGTGCCCTCTCTCCTGCACACCCTGGATCTCGCCAAGGTCTGAACCTGAACTTCTTCCGCTGGCCCCCTCGATCACCACCGTACCCTGGTCCCCCGCCTCGGCACTCATTGTGGGAGACCATGGGAACCTTCCCTCCTGGCACTGAGTGTCGGGCCCCTGGGTGGGGTTTTCTGCCCTTCTCGCAGTCCTGGGCAGGTTTCCCAGGAGTTACGGAGTTGGGGAACCCCTGAGCCCCGGGGAGAGAGAGGCCTGACAACAGTGCCGCGGAATGCTGGGGCAGGGGCAGGGTGGGCCCAACTCGCAAAAGGACCTGCCCCTGTTTCCTTTCTTTCTTCCTTTCTTTTTTTTTTCCTGTGTAGGTGCCCTTCTTACACCTACACACCCCTACCCCACCCCCTTTTCTCTGCCTTTGGCCAGAAACTTCCTTTCTGGCTGCCTGCAGGTAGGTCCGTTCTTGCCAGGAATGTGCATATCCTGCTGGGCCCCTACTCCAAACACACCTCTTCCTTAGTGGGGAGGAAAGCAGGGGGGCTAGGGGGTGCTTTCTTTGATCCAGTAATTCCCCAAATGTTTGCTGAGTCCCTACTCTGTCTGGGCAGGTACCAGGCTGGGCACTGGAGTACCCAGGCAGCGGAGGCTGGGGTCTGCTCTCCGGACCTCCCGTGTCAGGGTAGGAGAGGCAGACGAGGCATCGCTTAGCGAGAGGGTGGTGGGAGCGGGGTGTCTGTCTTAGAGGAGAGGTGCTGGGGGAGGGAAGGGTTGTCTCCCTGAGAAGGCTCCCTGCTGTGCCACACCCCGCGCTGCACCCTCTTCACTTACATCCTGACCTGTCGCCGCCCACTGCCGAGGTGGTTTTCCAGTCTCTGCTGAAATGCAGGCCCCTCCACTCGTATCCCAAGCAGGCACAATGTCTTTACTTTTCTGATAGCCCGAACTGCAAAATAATCATTCCTTCCATCCAAGGATCTCGGCAGAGTTTTCCTTCAGGATCTGAGGAGCTCCCCTGGCTTCCCAGACCACAGCAAGGCAGAGACCGTTTGTCACAGGGTTCCAAGGCTCCGTTGGCTGGAAGGAACCCTTCCTCCCACTTGGTTCCAGAACTCTGGAACCCAGGGCTCCCCAGGGCAGAGCATGGGTCAGAGTGGAAAAGGCTTAGGATCTTGCCCATAGTGATGGGACTTTGGGCAACTTAGTAAGCTCTTGTAACCTCAGTTTTCTGTGTATGTGAAGTAGGGCAATAATACCTGTTTAGGGCCTGTTTGGAAGTCGAAGGGCACATGTAAAGCACCTAGCGCAGTGCCTGGCGCCTGGTAGTGCTGACCAACGGGGGGGGGGGGCTTTTATTATCTGTCCCAGCACCACCAGGCCGCATGATGGCCTGAATGCTGGCAGTGTTTGAGCCTTGTCCTCCATTTTATGGAGCGAGAGGATGGACCCCAGAGAGGAGGTGCAGCTTGACTGGGGCCTCACAGAGCAGGGACGGAAACGGTGGCGCCTCTAAGTTCCAGTGCAACCAGTAGGGCGTGAGCCTCTGCTGGGGGCGGGGGCAGAGGACAGGGTACGGGAGGACCTCCCAATCCCCCCCCACACACACACACACAAGCTCAGGTATGGGCCACCCCTCTGCCCATGACCCTGGAATGTGCAGTTGTCCCCTCTCTCCCAGGCCTCCTAAGGTCCTCGTGGAGACAAAAGTGGGAGGGATAGTTCCCCAGAACCCAGAGGAGGAAAAATGCCTGGGAGCACCACCTCTCCAAAAAGAGAGACTTCTGTGGTTTGAAACCCTAGCTTCACAGCCTCATGGAATACAAGCCTGGCAGCCAGCTTCAGATCAATTTGGTACCTACCCTGGATGGGTCATCTAGAAAGAGCAAAAAGAAACATCCCCTGAGCCCGAAGTTGCTGGCTCTTTCAGCATGGCCTTCCTGGACTCCCGGCATAAAGGAAAATGCACACCGTCCTTCCTGCTGCCAGTCACATCACGCTGGAATCGCTGCAGGAAACTTCCTCACTCCCAGCCTGTGGCCTGCCGTGTGGTGGCCATGAGTGGACAGTGCCGACTGGTCCCCACCCGGAGCCTGCACTCAGGCCACACCTGGGCTCAAAGAGCTCTCGACACAAAAGGTGCACATTAGGATAGGCCTCAGGTCCCGGGGCCTGGCTGATGGTGCCCTCCTTCCCCTCTATATGGTCTTTGCCTTCCCTGGGCTGTCCCTTGCCCGGTTCGGCCTTGCATCTTTCCTCTTGCCAGCCCTGGTCAAAGCCGCACACCCTGTGCCCCCAATCCCAGCAGCTCTGCCCCTCTCCCCATGCCCCATCCTCTGTCCCACGGGTGCCTCCTAGGCTGCCACCTGAGGGTGAGCGGACCGCTGGCCCTGCAGAGCAGGGGTACAGGTTTTCTCTCCTGCTTGGAGTTTCTGACGACACCTGTGCTACCCTGCAAAGGCAGGTGGGGGTGGGCGGGCGTGAGATGGGGGGTTTTCCTCCAACAGTATCAGAGTGGAATGTGTAGAATAGTGACTCTGGCATTTGCTCAAAATAGGGCGAACTGGCAAAAGTTACCCAGAATTCCCATCACAGTGAAGGCGGGATAAGTGATGGCCACCCAGAATGGAGACAGAGACCCCTCCTCTTCATTCCACAGACACCGTGGGGCTTAGTGTGTGCTGTGAGGGTCTGGGTGAAGAGGATTTTGAGCGGGTAGCTTGGCTTGCAACTTGGAGAATCAGAAGTGGAGCAAGTGC